GTTGATTATGTTAACAAGTCAACATGATGTGATGAAAAATTGTAAAAGCATGTATTTCCATTGGCTTTTTCTTTGAACTATGATACTTTTAGGTCTTCAGTGTATCTAATGTTTAACAGGCTGTTAAAAGGTGTCAATCATTTATTAAGCCTGAACCTATAGACTACTTGATATCGATTATGAAAGGATACTTAATTGATGAGGTAGGGATTAGGAAGTCAATTCAGGTAATACCCCTGGAGTAGTATGAAGTCTGCATTGAGACATCCAATAAGAGGTTCATCACAGAGATTTACGTTTCTGAGAAGAGAAATTATCATTTGCTTTCTCATCTGTTTCCATCTCTAGTCTATTTCCACGTTCTATTTCCACGTTCTATACTTTATTTGATAATGCCCTTTTTGCAACTTCTTTGCAACTTCGTTCCAAATTTCCAATATTGCTATACATGTACTTTCTATTGGTTAATGCTACAGTGTATTTTCATCTATATATATATGTAAATCTATAACAGCCTCAAATATTTCATACATATACACTGTACATGATCTATAGCTCTATTTAGTGCCAGAAGGGCATTAACTCATATATTACACATACATGTACATGTACTTTAACACAGTGTTGACACCATTCTGGCTCTGATCAGTTGAATTATGTTCTTTTGAATTAACCATACCCATTACAGATACCTACTCCTAGTATAAGTAGATGTCCTATTGGATCTAGACATATCAGCATTTCCTGTAGGGTAGCAGGGAGAAAGTGAATGCATAATATCCAAATCAAACAGAGATATCTTGCGCTGCATGCATATTACCCCCGAACCCCATCTCATTTTCTTCAAATCCACCCACTCCATCATGATCAAAGATTGTTGGCAGGTAATATGCTAAGCGCCGGGTAAAAGACGATGGGAAAGGGTTCCCCATTGAGCTGCAGTCAGGTATGTCCTCCGCGTGGCTATTGAGGCACTTCCAACCAGAACAGCGCAGGAGTGAAGGTTTATATAAAGGAAGACCACAACAATACCTTTTATTTTTATAATGGGGGTATATGGATTATACTGACCTTAACTGGTTTTAGATTCCTTGACCAAGCCTTGGACTGTAATACCTGTACCTTGCCGTGATGAGATCTAATAGTTTAAATAGTACACGTAGGTGATCATTAGCCCCCTCTCTGTATTAAAGGCCAATGGGTCCAGTGATCATTGTGCAGGCATTGCCCTAGCTGAAGGCTTTTCTAGGCTCATTTACATTGTAAAAAAACCCAATTTGAATAACCATTATTTTTTCAGTATCATTACACTACTGAGAAAAACCCGTCAAAAATGTGGGTGTTAGCTAATTCTGATTTGTGTGTGTGTGTGTGTGTGAGTTGTGCGCCTGAACTTCTTGTCGCTTCTCTGAATGCAATAGCATTGGAGTTAGGAGAGTCACGTGAGTAAAAACCGGGATAATGAAACAGATGTTTTTTTCGAGAGCAAGCATTTACACTTAAAAAAACAGCAGTCTACACACCAGAGGTATTTTGTTTAATTTCGTTTTTTTCGTCGTGTTTATGGGTAGTTGCGTAGCACTTTCCGACAACAATTTGGAATGAGATAAGTGTAAATGCCCCTCCTGTATCCTTGAATGATTCAGTTTATAGTAAAGAAGATTCAGGTTTTTAAGAAGATAGATGTGATTAGTTTGGATTGATGTATTGTATTGGAATGTTCTAATCTGTCATTGACCTAAAAATCCATGATCTACTGTACGTCATAACATAAGAAGAAGAAAAGCGTTCAAGAAATGCACAATAACTTGATGAGTTACAACGAGGACCTACTGTATTTAAATTCAGGAAAGCATTAGACATATGTAACAAGATGCTTTACACAGGAAGATGTCAGTCGATATTTAATTGATTCAGTTATCTTGGCATGTTATCGAAATGACTGTTATATACATGTATCTTCATTCGTAAATAAAATAAAATATTTGATATTCAAATAGTAATTTGATGCCTCTTGATTTAAACAAAAAGTTTTGTTGACAGTGCTTAGAGCCTTTCAGGGATTTTGTTTTCAGGAAAAGGTAGGCCTAGGTACTCACCCGATGTACCTGTGTAAAAAGAGGCAACTTTACATAAAATGGTTTAAGTGTATTGGCATGAAGAAGAATTTTTTTTTAAAAAGGAGAGGGAGGAAAAGTAGGAGGAGGAGGGGGAGAAGTAGGAGAGGTAGGAGGAGGGGGAAGAAGAGGAGGAGGGGGAAGAAGAGGAGGAGGAGGAGGGGTGGACTTTAGCTTCCTCTATAACATTGTCATAAAACTGAAGGCATGATAGATGGATTTCATGTACATGTAGATGTATATGAATGCATGGGAAATGTCTGAATTTGCTGTCAATTTTTCCTCACTCTACTATCATTCAACACTTGACACTCAAGGCAATATGGCCTCAGATATAGGCAGGTGGTCACACTTCAACTTATATTCTGTTCTTAGAGTCAAGAGCGGTCAATCACTCGCTGGCCAATGGCCCGAATTAAAGCATCATTACCATATAGGGGACACACATCTGTAAAAGGCATCAGCGGGTAATGTGTCGATAATGGCAGTCCCGAGTGTGCTTTTGTTATGTCATGTGAGCAGTTGGCCAATTCCCCTTGTTTACAAGTCAGGATATATGAATTGACATTCCAATGTCATGTTTCCAAAATATGTTTCTTTTCTCTTGATTTTTGTTGTTGCATGAAAATAGTGATTTATTACAGCAAATTAACACATATTTACTCAGATTTAAGTTGTTTATGAAAAAGAAATGGATATTTACACGAAAATGCCTAAGCTTGCAAGTTGCAGGGAGGGTGTTTATGAAATGTTCTAAATTTGGCACTAAGAAGTGGAACAGTTTAGCGTAAATACCACCCAACAAAAGGCAAGAAAATGTGAGTTTCTATTCAAGCATGCTTTAGGGTTCAGAAGTTCAGCTGTTTTTCCATCGAAAAGGGATGTAAACATGGTGTGGCTCGAAACTATTTTGCAGTTTAACAAATATCAGCTTGGAATGGAATTAGCTTTGATCGAGAGCTCAGCATATTGCAGACCTGTAAACATATGACGGGGACTACACAAGTACATCTCACATGTTTTCCAACTCTCAATAAGAGAAAAAGACTTAATTTTTTATCTGGCTTTATTGTTTTTCAAGGTTTTTTTGTTGGTAATGGTGAAATATAAGGGAAGCTTTGAAAGAGAATTTGATAGATGATATGAGAAGGTGGCGGCCTGATGCTCAATCCATGACTCAAAATTTCTAGAATCAAGAATCTTTCCCGGTGGGGTCACTCAATGTGACTTCCAGACCACATGACCGTTACCAAAATCGCGGAAAAAGGGGTCAATTTCAAGCACTGTCCGCGGACAAAATATTCCTCGAAATAAAGAAAATAGGGGTGCACAGGTGTCCCCGAAATTGATAAATAGGGGTCAGGAAAAGGGAAAAAAGAAAACCGGGAAGGGAAAAGAGAAAACCGGGAAGAAAAATTCTCGGAGCCGAGTCTTGTCCTTGAAATATGGTAAAATAGGGGTAAATTTGCGAAAGTGTCCTTACAATCTTATAAATAGGGGTATTCCAAAGTACGATTTTGTCCTTGTTTTGAAGTAAAAAAGGGGGTTAAATTTCACAAAATGTCCGTGAAATTGACCGCAAAAGGGGGTTAAATGCATTGGTGGTAACGGTCATATGTGTCACTTTTTGCAGGGGAGTGACCCCACCGGGGAATCTTTCTGAACAACCTATATTGTACATGGGTACAAGAGTTGACAATTCATCTGCTAAGGGCCAGAAAGGAACTAGGAACTAATTGATAATACATGTAGATGTATTCCCTGCTCACCCTTAGCAAATTTTGTTGACAGTTTTGACAAACATGTAAGAATCTTTTAAGAATTTACAGGCATTGATCAATAAAATAGATAAAAAGATGGCATTTGTTATTGTGTCTGTTATATACATGCAGATACGTTCATGATGTTGCCATTTTGATGCAAAGTTTACTCAGAGCAAATAGAAGAGTATATATTGACAGCATGTGAGGTCAACCATGGTTCTTTGGTTAAACAGTTTTGTTTGGCAGGCTTCCTTGGTTAACACGGATTTCTTGTGGTAACAGGGAAAGGACATTGTTTAAACTGTTCAGCGTGAATGACTTTGACTTTGAAAGTTTATCAGTTCACAAATGTTTGAATTTTGAAACTGTACATTTGTAAACACATTTTAACGTACAGTTTATTGTTTGTGTTGTCGTTATTGAGATTCTGGATAGGTTTAAGGTTAGGTTAAGGATAGCGCTTGGTCCATGAATTCAGTTAGACATTTGGTTAATTTTAGTAAATTTTGTTAAACATTGGCCAAGGAGCGATTGTCGCTAGAGCAGTAGTATCGCAAAATCAAATATTGTTTGAAAGTGATGTTGAAGTTCAATTTCATATTTATTTAGTGTTTTTGCCCTTCAGGGATGAGACCCCATCACTATGGGTATGTTTCAGGATTAGGTGTAGATGAATTTGATGAATTTGAAATTTGTTGGATGTGAACCTGAAAAGTTGACCAAGGAACAATTGTGGCTAGAGCAATTGTCACGCAATCAATTAACTCTTGTTTGAAAGTTTCACTTTTCATTGTTATCCAATTCTTTCCCTTCAGAGATGAAACCCCTTCACAAACATTAAAGTCTATGAATAGGTTGATGTATATGTAATTAGGTCCATGGTTGAAGTTAGAGATTCAATTGACTTATTCATTTATTTCTGATATTTATACAGGGTGGCACATTTCACCAATTATGGTGGTCTTCCATGAGGCCCTGTTTTGTAACAATGCTGTTAAACTTACAAGTTGATGAACATTTAGGAGCAATTGTTACCCGAGCACATGTGGTACAATCAGCTACCGTTTGAAAGTGACACTGAAGTTTACTTTTCTTTTATTTCTTCTTGATTTCTCTGTAGGAATGAGACCTCTACACTATGCAGCATGGCAAGGAAGGTTGGAGCCCGTCAGGTTATTCCTGCAAGCGGGAGCAAACCCGAACGAGATGTCCCTGGACTCAGAGACACCTCTCCACCTTGCATCGCAGTATGGAAGCTACTCAGTGGTAAGCATCGATCAAGCCTTTGTACTGTTAACCCATCACCTTCTGGGACCGAGTGGTTTCTGTACTAAGCCAATGAGCTTGATAGAATTCAGTAGTCAAGAGGTTAAATAGCAGATTAAATGGACTTGTAGAATTGAAGAAAAAAAGAAGAAAGATGTGTTGTTAGAAGACATGTACTGTAATCACACAAAAAAAAAATTGTATTAGATTTTGTTAACGATTTAAAAGCACAGAGATGAATTTATTTTTTGTATTTTAAAAGCCCTGTACAGAAGGTATTACTTGGATTGAACTTCTGTATGTGCCATATTTTATATGAAAGGCAGTGTGTCTGCTTCATATAGTTAACTGGCAATTTACTTTTACCTTTATATAGATTATACATTTGGTATATAAGCTTTCACATTTCTGTACAGAAGAATATTTACTGGTAAAGCTTATACATTGAATATAAGATTCCAGTATGGGACCCCAAAATGTATAGGCCTGTCAGATTTTTTGATTTTTTTTTAAAAGTCGATGATTGTACCTGTTCAAGTTACATGCAGCTTAGCTCAATGGTGTCATGACTGAGAAGGTCAGTTTATACATAAAGCAGATTAGGGATGGAAATCCAATGTTAGACAAACACAATTTACCTTTCAGAAGTCACATTAGATACCCTGATCATGATTAATGTATTCTAGAGATTTGTGATTGAGCATCACTTTAGCCATCTATTGGGGGGTCCTTCTAGGATTGTAAGGAACTCATCTTACCAAAACACTGGATAATCTCTTTTTTTCTATATTCATGAATAGAAAATGATAGATGATTCTGCCCTAGGATTCCTTAGTTTGACTTATCCATGCGTGATACAGTTTTGTATCAATGTCTTGATCTCAGTGGTGCCCCTTTTGACTATAGCTTGTGAAAAATAAAGGATCATGAATACTAGAATAACAATGTAGCATGAAGGAAAACAAGAAGAAGTACGGTAGTGTATAACTGTGGGCTGATACTGTTTCCCTCATTAGCCAAACATTGCTGGCACAGCTTTCGCTTTCCCCATGTTTATCGAACAACACTATTATTTCCTTTCAGCCCGCTCGCCCTAGAGTGGCTGACGTCTGGCATTCGCTTTCCATCAAGATACTGTTTCATTTGCTGTCTTCTCCCATTCCTCTAACCTCATCAAACCGAGAGGCATCCTAGAAAAGTGGTCTGGGGTCAGGCGCATTACATCCATTGACACGGTTTCATGTGGTCGTGTTTTGTGCTCGGTCGGCCCTCTTGAGGTCCATGTTACAAAATGGTTGCATCCTCAAGGAGGCAACACGATCCCCGCCTCTCCTCTCTCAAGGCGCTGTCTCCTGTCCTGGAGAAGATGGCAGCGGAATAATAAGGCGCGTCTTCATCATCTCGAGATTGCCAAATATCAAGCTATTTGAACTATCCCGATCGCAAACTATCCACCCAAATTGCGTCTTCATCAGCCAGAAGTTGCAATTATCGGGACATTTGGTCGGGATTGTCATCGAAAGATATCTTGGGATAGTTTGCAAAATATCCAGCTATTTGTTCGGTGGGCCTTCACCAGACCAAGACTCGCACTATGCGAGAACGCTGAGCAAAAATCTCTAGCTAATTTCTCAAGGTCGGGTTTCGAGGTTGAATCTCGAGCTGACGAAGACGTGATTTGTAACTTCAGGATTTTTTCCCAAATCAGACATAGCGGGCTATTTGGCAATCTCGAGATGATGTAGACGCTCCTAGTGATGCAGAGGGGTTATCGTAGCTGTGGTGGGGGTGTGAGGGAAGGTATAAAGCTGTAGAATTATGTAGAAGTGATTGGATAGAGGGACTGACTGTCTAACTGTCGTCTGGGGTTGTTGTTGTTGTGTGTGGGCCCAGCCCTCCCCCTCAGTGTGAAGTAGGGGTCATGTTTGAAGTCAGGGCTGTGGGATCTCAGACAGACACCAGAGGGTTTGTTCACACTGGCATGTACATGTAGATTGAAGGCACCCTGGGTAGCGTTTTATGAAACCGTCATAAGTACAAGTATACTGACATCCCATTGAAATGTGTGTTTGCGCTGCCCTGTTGAATAACTTGCTATCAGCATAGAAAACAGTTGGCTGTTCTGTTCATACCAGGAATGGGAAGCGTTTCTAAGGAGTGAAAGGTGGCCGAGAAAAACACCAACAGAGGAATGATGCATTTGGAGTCGGGCTAACTCGGTCCAAAGACAACTCGGCCCAGGTTAGGTATAGGATTAGGTTTAGGGTTAGGGTTAGGGTAAAATGACAAAAACTGACCGTTTTTGCAGCTATCTTTGGTCCGAGTTGGCCCGAATTCATGCATTTGACTTGTATCTTTGGTAGTGAGAACAGACTGAAAGGGCTTGGTTATAGGTCAAGGGGCGGGATCAGAGTGGATCAGAGGCAAATGTGATGAAGCGAACTGGACTTATGACAAGGACTTCCAGGTTTGTGTAAACACCATCAAGAGCCTGGACTGGAGGAAGTGGAAGAGGAGGGTCCCTGGTCCCACCCATATCCGCAGGGCCCTCCCGGTTCTAGGCCTAGTCTACTCAGTCAGGTCTGTCAAAGTCTAGGCTAGACTCTCTAGTCTCTTTTTTGACAGACTTGTACTTCAGTGGACTTGACTGCTACTATGCTCCTAGTGCCTGCTGCTGTCACAGTAAGGTCAGGATTGTTATGTCTGAGAATGTTATAATGATGTCATGTGACACCTGTTTACAGGTGATGATGATTGAGGGAGATGAGGAGAACAGAGAAATAAGATATAAAAAACTATTCCCTTTTCAAACTCATTATCAAAAGTTCTTAACAATTGCCTAGTGGAGTACTCAAACATAGTTGATGGTTTAAAGTGGTCTGTTGACAAGACTGTTTGAATGATCTGTTTATCACATTGACTTACATTTTTATCCTGTCATTGGCAAGTTTGTTGACCCTAACTTTTAAAAGATACATCAACAAACTCTTCAACAAACTTTTTATTGAAAGTGAAAAAATTGATCAGGATGATGTTCGCTTCAATTAGAACGTAATACGTGGGATAGGTTTCTTTGAATTTCACCTGGAAAATATCAACTCTGCTATTACATTGTAGCTAAATATGGAAAAGAAAATAGGTCTATTCTATATGAGGGAACATATGCCGCATGACATCTCAGGAATGAAAATCAATTTGTGTGGACTCCTGATTTTCTTGAACTTCTGAGGAAACACAACATATACATGTAGGACAAAAAAAATCAATATGCATGATATTACATCACTGGATAATATAATTTAGTTTACAAAAAAATCCATTTAAGATGTACTGAATATTTTCAAGGTGAATGTCTTTGCTTATTTTCATCAGTTGAAGTTGAACACAGAGGGACCTACATATGTATCAGTTCATGTTTCTTTCTTTGTTATTGGGGTAAGAACGGGTGTTATGTCTTACTATGATTATATGCTGTCAGCGTAGTCTCACCATTCAGACACCGTGAAGCACATCGACTGAAAATAGTTTGTTGCCTGCAAGCTACTCCTATAAAGCGAACAGCTGGCCCTTGACATATTTCAGAACTTTGGGGATTTAGAATGCCACAGTTGTTCTGGGACTACCAAATTGGTTCCAGAAACGATTGATCTGTAGACCTTAACCAAAGGTGACCACACAGGGAAGTAGTTCGCTTCTATCTGTCCCCATTTACCCCAGTTAATTTCCGACTTGAGAACTTTTGTGAGAGCAAACTCCTTTCCCCATTTTTTCCCACAACTTCCGAGGTTCACAAGGCTACGAGCCCTCTTGAGAAATCCAGCGTTAATTTGCATCCAGTTTGTGGGGTGAAACAAAATACGATGTTTACCTCTCTGACTGAACATTCATTTGGGGATCGTTTGTCACTGTTTAGGTGAAACAAAAGACGTTATTTGTCTGTTTTCAACTTTGGAGGGTTACCTGTAAATGACCCGAAGTGATAATTTGATATCATAAAGTCATTTGTTTCCTTAATCACCTGGGAATAGGAGCATTTGGGAAGTTGAACATTAGACCCCTGATAGTTGCACCTTTGCCCATTAGTGGAGGGGGGGGGGGGAGCAATTGAAGTGTCATGACTGCAGTAGGCTACATATTTTGAGCATGCGGCAGGCATTTATGATTTAACGTATGCTTTGTGCTTATAGTTATTTTGTCAATAATGAAAGGTTGGAAAGTAAAGTAAAGCACGAAATGTAGGCACTTTATTAATTCATGTTACTTAATTCATTTCCCCCTCTAGGCTATAGGGAAGAAGGATATAGCTTGCAAGTACGCTTACTTTATTAATTGTGCTACGGGATGGAAGGGGAGGAGGGGGAAGGTGGGGGGCTATCTCCAAAGGCGGTAATACATCCAAGTAGTGACTCCTGTATGGAAGATTGAGGGGGAGGGGCTTCACAGTATACTCGAGTTGCAAACCAGGGGGATTAGCAATTTTGTGGAGCATTTACTTTAATATTTTACACAGTATTTTTCTTAAACTTAAATAAGATAAATCTAGGCCTCAATCAAGAGTAGGACTATGCCTTATTGAAGATTTCACCAATATCGTGGGTGTGATATCGGCCTAAAGGGTAAGGAGAAAACCAGACTCCATTGCTTGCCGCTCAAAGGTTAATAAAGTCGGTGAAGGTCAATACTACCCATTTGGGAATGGTAGCAAGAAATTAGTTTGTGATTTCTTTGGTCTTTTTGAACTCCCAAGTGGGAGTGACCCAGTGCTCTCTTTGATTCAGGCCTGATAAAAACCCGATTTAAATCGGTTTCCCGATTTTTTTTATTTTTCCCGATTTTTTCCCGATTTTTTTTTTCTTCCCAATTTAAAAAAAAAAGAGAGAAAAAAAATGATTTTTTTTTTTTTTTTTTTTTTTTTTTTTTTTTTTTTCCAGATTTTTTTTCCAGATTTTTTTTTCCCTTCCCTATTTTATCCTGATTTTCCCGATTCCCCCCTTATTTTCTCTATTCTTCTTTATTTTGCCCTATTTTTTCCCCCAATTTTCTTACTCGAAAGGGGGGAATGTTGTTAGATGCCATTTTTTCCCCGCGAATCCTCTTTTTTTTTTTTACTCAAGGGGGGCGTGGTTGAGGGGAAAACAAAAAACCTATTTTTTTTTTAGTGCTCACTATCACCCCTGTTGATTTCAAAGGTTGGTGCCTATTTACAGAACTCAACACGTTTTTTTAAAAACCTAGCTGTGTGTGTTATGTAGTATTGTAAGTCATGAAAGCTTACAAATGTATGTAGAAATCATTTTAATTGCAATTTGATCTTTTTATAATTCAGGAATGATGACAGTTCACCAAAATATATTCCCGTGAGATAAATGAACTACCATCCCCCACAAAAGAAATTATATAAAAATATGAAATTGATGGATGAGAAAGTAGGAAGAGGAACGGAGAGAAGAATTTGGAAGAGGGAGGAAAGGAAGAAAAGGAGGGAAATATGTATTTTGTAGGGGAAGGGTTACACTATAGAGAAGTACATGTATATAATGTAAATATTTGTACCAATATAAGCCCTGTCTGAGGAAGCAGCTTCAAAATCTACAGAGCTGGCCTTTTTTTATTTTTTATTTCTCTCCTGTTTTTTCCAAATTTATACCTAATGACATATAATTTCTCAAATTTTCATTTTCTCTCCGTACAATCCTGTATTTTCTTTTAACATTCCATCTCATCTGTCACCTTTTCTGTACTTCAGGTTGAAGGGTTACTCCAGTATGATGCGGACCCCACCGCCAAGAACAAGCAGGGGAAGACGCCCTTGGATCTAGCGGCCGAGTTTGGGAAAGGAAGCGTGTCGGAGCTGCTCCTGAAAGGGAGACACTGCACCACGCTGATAGCAAGCACTTCCCACACCGGCGTCACCATGCATACACCCCTACACCTTGCCGCAAAGAATGGCCACAGCGATGTCATAAGGTAGGGAAATCATTTGGTCTGGAAAAAAATACACAGGAGCTCGCGGCGAAGTAGCCTCCGAAATGCCAAAAAGAGCCCCCAAAAGTCATAAAAGAGCCCAAAAACTTTGCATAGAGTTCAATGAAAAACAAATTAAAGAGTGTTATTTTAATTCAAGCAAGCTTGAAAAGTAGCCCCCGAAATGTTTGATTATTTTTCCCCTGCATTCGGATGTGGTGTACTTGCCAGAAATGAGGATTATATGGTGCAATTATCATTATTATTACTATTTATTCAGCATTTCAAAGATCCAATAAAATGAAGACTTGAGATATAAAGAAAGAACACATGATTTAGCTAACCCAGCCATGCTTCTCAAAGTTGATTGGAAGTTTAAACAAATGTGGAGTTCCTTCAATTAATTTTTGGATAAATTAATTGAAATAAATCCCACACATGATTGAGGGCCTTTATCAACAAGTTGACGTTGGCATATCAGACTTGTACAGAACTTATACAATTCATTATTAGAATTAATAGCATGGTAGTGCATGATGCAAAATTGATTCAAAAAGATTTGAATGTCAAAGACAACCAAGAAATACAAAAAGAAATTTCTGAAAATGAGTGCAGCCATTCAACCCAGCTTCAGGTTTATAGAGCAACTACAAAACTGCAGTAGTGTGAATGGTTCAATAAAGATAAACTCTTTAATTGAAGTTATTTGTGAGGCTTTGTTTGCTAGAAAAAGGCGGCAGAGATCCTAATAACTTTATAATGAGGTTATTAGACACTAATCACTCACTCAATAATTCAGATTCTGTCTACCCTATCTTGCTTTACAACTTCCAAAATGATCCTTAGAAGTGATTCTCATTAAAAGGGAGATTATAGGTCAATGAGGATTATATACATCTGGCAAAATTTGAAAAGCACTCCTCCTATATCTTAACCTACACTATTGTATCTTATTTTAGATGGTTTGTGAACCCGTAATAGTGACATACATTCGTGAGTCAGGGCCTTGTTTCATAAAACTTGTTATCAATAAACAAATACCACAGATCTATAACAAATCTGCTCACAAGCCAATCAAATGTAAGGATTTCAATAGCTTATAATATCAATGATTGTATCTTGTATATTGATGACAAAATTTTATGAAATAGGGCTCAGAAATATGATCCACAAACTGCTTTGATATGAAAAGGCCTCTCCACGCAGTTATACATTTCTGCAGATTAAGTCTTTATTTCATCAGACAGCATTACAGTATTCAAAGAGTGATGAGAAAGTAACCAAATCAATACAAGCAAAAGTCGAACACAAAAGTGCCTTTGGATATCAGATATCAAGGTTCATTTTAATCAAGTTAAAGGAACAATGTTCTCACTTTTAGAATCTAATGGATTACATTTGCACGTAATACATCTTAGTTGTGTATACCAATATTTGTTTGTGTGTACATCGTGGCACGCACTGCATTCTGCTACTCAATTGGGTAAGATGCCGGATGTCTCCTTCGTACATCCATCGCAACCGCACATCAGCATGCCACACAGAGTATGTGTTTGTAATCACGTGTTACATAAACGTTGTAGCAACTGGCGGGGTCCTTAGTGCCCCCGAGAAAGATTGTGACATATGTCATCTGGCTTTGTTGGCTTCGTTTCTTGGTGGCTTGTTATCTGCAGATAGTTATGATTGATGACATACCAATCAGAAACAGCTGAACGTCGTATCACTATATTACATAGACTTCTGCAGCAGTTGTAGGGCCACAGCTTCGTTCTCATTCGTCATGTCTTCTGGTAGTTAAGCTCACTATGTGTTGGGTCCAATAACATTCATCTTGCCTTCACAGAAATGAAATTAAAGTTTTATCACTATATCACATACATGTAGACTTTTGTGGCAGCTGTATGGCTAAAGCTTCTTTCACACTCATCACATAACTTGAAGATATTAAATTGAATATCTTCTGACTATATTACAGTTGTCTCGTAATCCAGTGACCCAGGTTCGAAACCAAGTAGATTCGCTAGTGCCCTTTGGTAAGGCATTAATCCTCAATACCAGGTCCCTCGGAGAGGACCGAAACTTGTCGGCCGTCTGGTTGCTACCTTATACAAGCATTTATGCTTTCTTAGCAGTCGGGTAAAATAACCATCACCACCACATGCACCATAACTTCTAGAAATTCAGCTCAATATCAGGTTACTGTATTACGTATACCGGCAGACATCCGTGGTAGCCGTGCAACCTCACCGGGGCTGTTCACATCTGCTTTGCCTTCAAGATATGCAGGAGAACAGAGATGAAGTGTTGTCATGGTGATCAATCTCTTGACGATACTGCCATCGGGTTTAGATCGATCATTCATGAAGAAATACAAAAATGTGCATTGCCTTTGAGAAGGGGAATAGATAATAAGATTTTTGTTATATCGGTGATAAATGCCGCACAGATGACACACTTAAATTGCGTTACAAGTATACATGACAATAATGGTATACTATGGTACACTATTGACATATTGCCGTATGGCAGCCATGCTAAAGCCAGGGTAATAATCGGGAGCGCCAGGAGTGTCACGTATGACAGACATGAGCACTACACAAGAACCCATTATTATTATTATTATTGTTGTCATCTGGCTTCAACCAATTCAAGATTTCTATCAAATTCTTAAATAAATAAATTGAAATGTTGGCATTTATGGAGACATTGCAGTGTCATTATATCTGTAATCTAGCAATTAATTTGTAATTTTGCATTTTGTAGCAAATTAAGTAAGAATGTGCTAGTCTGGCATACAAATAACCATCCTACCCCAAAATGGAAGTTTGAAAGGGCAGGAGAACAGAAAAAGTTAATGTTGCTCAGTCCATCAATATGATTTGAAATATTCATATGTAAGCAGGTCGTCTACTATTTATATGTACAGTTATATTTAGATGCAATGTTCACCCCGACTTGAGTGTGTGTTATTTCTGATAATATACAATGTCGATTGCAGATGATATTACAGTTGACACAATGATATGAGACTTGATAGTCTGGTAACCTGGGGGGTGTTTCACAAAGATCCTAAGTCAAAATTAACTCTAAGTTGGACTTAAAAATTATGGAGAGCCATTTGTAGCCTTATAATGAAATATATTCAAAAGCAAAATTTCAAGTATTTTAGACTTTTTATAAATTCCACATCAAGAACATGAAAGCTCCTTGATAATAGAAAATATGAATGATTTGAATTAACATTTTATGCCTTTTAAATTAACTTTAAAAAAATATTTTCATAGATGGTTTCCATAATTGTCAAGTCCAACTTAGAGATAAGTCCAACTTAGGATCTTTGTGAAACACCCCCCTGGTATCCCCTTGTAGTTGGTTCATGAAAAGGCATTCCTTTTAACCCTTTCGAAGCCACCGAGAGGAATTTTGTGTTAAAGGGTAATGGTGTTTTGGGTTTGTAATAATGGCAGGGTTAGAAATATCTTGTCAGGTTTTGGTATAAAGTATTACATTTTGAGAGAAATTGACTGGCTTATTCCTATTTATGAATATTGGATGGCTTATTTTTGACCCACAGCATGTGTTTAAAAAACAAACAAACACAATTATTAATCCATAAACACAACTTACATATTTATGAGATCTTGTAATATACACTTGTGTCAGGGTAACTGGCTCTATTGAGTTATTCTACTTTGCTTATTATGCAGGTAGTATACATTTTGTAACCAAATATCATTCATTTATAGTCATGAAGTTTTAGTGTAACACGACCCAACACCAACGAAAAAAATACACGGTGGCGACGGGCGATTCGCCCCCTAAACCTCTGAAATCGCCACGGTAAAAATCAAGACGAGGGCGAAAAAAAAATCAATATATCTTGAAAAATCGCCCCCGCCATAAATTGATATTCCCTATGAATTAATAAACCAATTTATTGATGTGTCTGAGTGAAATCTCTGTTCCAACTACCAACTCCAAAACTAGAAACTTCCATCAACATTTTAAAAGTTTTGTGAGTTGCAGCGGATCGGCGGTCGTACCTACTGTAGCTAGATCTACAGCGGTATCCGCCTGCCTGCGCCTAAGCTCCCGGCGGCCGGACAGGCCACCGACCCCGATGTAGTTTCGTGCACAGCATGAATGCATACGCAGTTCGCACACGTTCACAATACACAGAAACGTACTAGCTCAGCTCCAGCGCGCGCCCGCACGCTCCTAGTATGAAGCAAATAAGTATTTGCGAGTGACGAGAGCTCAACTGCTAGCAACCAAATTGGTACGTAATATGTTTATTTAGTCTTTTTTCTGGCCCTAATTTTTATCATGGACAATGCAATCCCATTAAAAAAAATGTTATTCCGTCTAAAATTGTGTTATTTATAAGTTAAAACCATTAAATGCGAGTATATTTTTACTGTTGTCCCACATACTGATATATTTGTAATAACGAAACGTGCAAAATCAATGCCGGATTTTTTCCTGTAAAATCGGTATAAAGCAAGTTTCGTACACAGAAATTGAATTTTGTTATAAAAAAACCGTAAATAAATACATAAAGGATGTTCCTACTCCTCAGAATCTTTCTTACAACTGTTTAATTAAATTAAATTATTTATATACGATCGATGCCAGGCCAATTGTCATGAGTGATGATGACATCAATTTCTGTCTACGAAATGAAACCAGCTTTGGCTTGGCCTTTAGAATTAGAGTCTATAACAAAAAAATAAGGCCATTATTTTGCATGTTTCGGCATAACAAATAGACCCTACATCGGTATGTGGGACAACAGTAAAAATATTTACTCACATTTAATAGTTATAAATGGTCTAAATAACACAATTTTAAAGGGAGTTGGTCTACATTTTTTTTTAATGGGATTGCATTGTCCATGATAACAATTAAATTTGGGACAGAAAAAAAGACTAAATAACATATTACCTACCAATTTGGTTGCTAGTAGTATGATGGCTAAGGAAAAACACAACTTATTGTTACAGCTTACAATATGGCTTTAAGGAAGTAGCCCCTTGGTTTTTTTTAGGCAATGGGGAAAAGTAGCCCCCATAAAAAAATTAATTCCTAGCCCGCGTGTCAGTGATAATATTTTCTTAGGATATGAAAAACGAACAGTTAAACAAAACACTCCTTTTGACAAGTTTTAGTTACATGTATATGTAAATCATGAAGCCACACGTTTAACACAAAGTGAATAAATCATGGGTATCTGAATGTCTGCAATACTCTACATGACATATGCACGCTACCATTGTATCTATATTTGCCTTTGCTTGGAATTTAATTAGGTAAAACCGCGTTTAAAAAAAATACAACCTTTAAAAAAAAAAGCCCCCCTGAGCTCCAAAATAGCCACCGCAAAATAATTAAGGGGGGCTATTTTTTTAAGGGAAAATCTGAAAAGAGCCCTCGTAAAAAAAAAAGTAATTTTTTGGTTGCCCAACACCTGAGCCCTGTCATATAAAGAATTATGATTGATCCAAATCAATTAAAATTCCTCCCATCAATCGCAAGTTTGGAGTCTCCTATGTCTTATGTACATAGTTGCGATTGATATCAATCACAAATAAGTTGCGATTAATAATAATAAAAATAATACACAATATTTATTAGGCACTTAATATGGGTGTCTCTAAGCGCACCAAAGTCTGACTAGAAAATTATTTACCAAAACTTATAATAAACACACAACTTATACATCTGTTCTTTATTCAATAAATCATGCATATATAATAATAAAAATAATATCAACTCTTTATAAGATGGGGCCTAGAACTGACAACTAACCAAATGAGAAAAAAATCCATTATCTCGTAATGCCAAGAAAGGATGGGATTGGAGTCAGGATTGTATGAGCTGTTTGGTTCAAGGGTAGTGTCACTGAGATGTTTTTAAGTTTTGTTTGATTCTGTAAGAGTTTCTTCTCCACTATAATCTGAACTCAAGATAACCTCTAGAAGCTACTTTTTTTCAAGTCCATTTCATGTGTATGTTCTTAGAAATGTTAACACTTCAATTTTAAGGCTTACATTAGCGTGTCGTTGTTGTAGCATTTGATCAGCTCATTTCTCCGAGACATTGTACAGTTTGTCCAGCTTCCCATTACTCTAAAGTAAACATTCCTTCATGAACTTTGGATGGTTTGATGGTTTGATGCACTCCATGAATGTAGCTTGAGTGAAAGATTAAAACAAAAACAACAACAAACCTTGAATGTAACATATATCAATATTTGATGATGTCATAATGCTACCGTGGGAAGAAAAAAAATGAATTGTCACAATGATTGATGTTGTCTGTTCAGAGCCAGGAGGGCATTAACTCTGTGTTAAAGTGTATGGGTAAGTGCCCTTCTGGCTCCAAACAGACAATGTATTTTATGTCTGATAATATACTCTATGAACTTTACAACCCCTCAAACTAATTGACCGATCAAATGACTTCACATTCTAATGCAATGAGTCAGATTTCTATTGTTCAGATGCAATGCTTGCCCGCTCATCCACTGTACATGTATATTAAAGCTATACCTCGATCCCCCTCTCCTCTGAAGCTCCTACCCATCTCCCCTGAAGCTGTATCATTAAAGCTTACCTCCCCCTCTCCCCTAAAGCATGTTTCATCTAATGAGTACGATTCCTTTCTGGTTTGTTTTCAAACAGGACCCTCATTGATGCTGGGATTGACTTAAACAGGGAAACGCCTAACGGGACAGCCCTTCACGAAGCAGCCCTGGCAGGCAAATCGGAAGTCGTCCGTCTATTGATTATGGTGAGTAGGCACCCCCTCCTGTGTCAGGTGTCATGGTCGAGTGGTTGGGGTACTTGATGCTTAATGCTTAGGTCATGGGTTCAAGCACTTGAAAGTTCCGTTTGTCCTTCGGAATGGCATTCAAAATGGAGTTTTACAAATGAATGCCTAAGTGGGGACTTCACAGGATGAGAGGCATGTTTGAATGGATTTGCCAGTCATCTATTGTCCTGTCTTCTTCAGCTCGAGATTGCCAAATATTCCGCTATTTGAACTATCCTGATTGCAGATTATCCAGTTAATTTGCGTCTCCATCAGCCGGAAGTTGCAATTAGCGGGATATTTGGTCAAGATAATCATCCCAAGATATCTTTGGCTAGTTTGCAAAATATCATGCTATTTGGCAAAATATCCCGCTATATGTCCAGTGCGTCTTCTCCAGCCCGAAGGCTCGCACTATGCGCGAACGCTGAGCAAAATATCTTGAGATAATTTCTCGAGCTCGAGTTCCAAGTTTCGAGGTCAAGTCTCGAGCTGATGAAGACGCGATTTGTAACTTCAGGATTATTTCCCAAATCAGAAATAACAGGCTATTTGGCAATCTCGAGCTGATGAAGACAGGCCTTATGCAGACACTTCAAGGCTTGTTCCATTCCATCGCAGGTATAAAGGTTTCTACAATCGATGCCTTCTTGTACTTCTAATCTGCCAATACTACACTAACAGGGCTGGTGACAATTTAGATTGTAATCAGCAATTTAAACCAAATAATGGAAATTACAATTAATCAATTGAAACACTGATTTTTTAAAAAGACTATTACTACTTCTGCTGCTGCTGCTAATAGTGCTTCACTACTGCTTTGTCTACTTCTTCTACAAATGTTATTACTCTTCTGCTAGTTCCGGTACTTTTAATGATAGTACTTCAACAGGTACTACTCCTATTTGTTACACCATATACTTCTGAGTTCTGACATGTGATATTAATATTGCATATTCAGTGCTCCTAGTGAGAATCCAAGTACAAATATACAAATCTCTTTTGTGCTGACTTTTATTGTGGTACATTCTTTCCTTTTATCTCTTCATTTCGCCTGTCTGCCCTCTCTGAAAATAACGAAATCATCTTGTTTATGAGTTAGTAAATAAATCAAAATACAGGAGAACGGTGTCAAAAAGTTTGGACTTCCATTCCGCCTGCATATTGTCAAACTCAGCCTGAAGGCATTGTACTGAAAAACAATTTTGTACCAGAAAGTGTTTAATACTGGCATGAGCAGTCCTTCAGAATGGCATTCATAATAGAGTTTTACAAGTTTTACAAAGTTTTACCAAGTTGAAAATAGTTTGGAGGTAATCCTTTTCTTTGTAAGATCAGTGGGTGAGACACTGGCAGTGATACAGTAGATGGGAGATAATAGTTGTTTACCAACATGTAGGCGGGTTTCTTTCTTGCTGCTGTGTGAACGTGAGTGACGCCCTACCGAGTCTCTCACGCTTTTTTCTTCTCTCTCTCTCGAAAGTCGAGCACGAGTGAGCTAACCTTTCAATAACAATATTGAAATAGTAGAAGTTTGCAACAATGAAAGTAGCAAAAATGATTAAGTAAGATTTAAAAGCTTTTGTTTAGGGACTGATCATATCTGCATTGCATTGTGAATGGGAAAAATATCTTTTCTATTTGTTTTTTGAAACTTGTCCTTGACTTTAGGCTGACATGGTTGGTCTGTTGTAAGTGTTCCTTTATTAGACGGGGACATGTATTTACATACCGGTTACCGGTATGATATAAATTTCATGCATGTTGCGGAATATCATGCAAGTTGCAACGCACCGTTGGGAGCATTGATTCCAATTGTTTATACCTCTTGATAAATGTTGCTGTGGTAACGTACATGTACTAGTGGCAGCCGTGCGTTCATTCAGATTGCTTCGTATGACGTGGTATTAGTATATGTTTAATTTGACTGTTACGTGCATGATTTTGTTTGTATCCTAACAATTACTGAGACTGAGCGGAAGCAACCATACATTTAAATTTGTTATGTCAATACAGATCTAGAAGCCAGAGTGATTTGAATTTAATCATGAGGGCATTTGTTGTTTGTTTAGTGTTTTTTTTCTCCATAAATTCCATTTTCCATGAGTATTTCATGGATTAAAAAAAAAAAAAAATCTGAATCTCAGCAGAAAATGGCTACAAAGATATATTCTGAGTCTGGAAACAATCTTTTGGTACCTCAACAAATTTCATCCAGTCATTTAGCCTTGTTAAGCCTCAACGATTTTTTACTAACCTATTTTGTATTTCGGTTCTCTGTTTGTTTTTCTTCCTTTCCTTTGTTTCTACAGAGTGGCATTGATGTACTAAAGAAGAACTCTCACAGTCAGACAGCTTTAGACATCGTCAACAAGTTCACCCCAACCAGAGCTGCACAAGATATCAAGCAAATACTAAGAGGTAAACATCAATCGGTAGAAAATAATAAAAGGTGTTTAAACCAAAAACCCGGGCATTCCTATTCATATGTCTTTGTGTATAGATAGTTTTCCTCTTGCTTTAAAGATGTTTATGCATGGGTACATAGTCGTTCGTGAAGTAGGCAACTTGGCAATCACTCCCGATCACTACATTACACTGAGCCAATGGGTATTACGCTCCCATGCATACGTCCGTGTGCTGCCCTCTATATACCCAGCAACTTTAAGCTTAACCCATCGTCTACGGGAACCAGTTGATTCCTTTGGGAATGGAGGAATACAGTAATCAGCTTAAAGTCAACCCAATATAGTTCCACCTTGAAATAAAAAAATGTACTACTCCCGGGTTGAGAGAATCTGCTAAAATATCAGGCAATGTCCATACCAGAGTATTAAATTATGCGCAAAGTTTGGTCAACTAGCCCTATTTTTTCAAAAGTATCAAAAATGTTATAAGTTCTTCCGCATCTCATAGAAGTCTACCCGTACGTTCCTTGACATCCTGTAGAAATGTGTGTTATAGGATTAGAATCTGATTTTAACAGGAAATTCAAGAACTTAGTGACAGTTTAAAGATACTGTCTCATGGATATCATTTGGAAATACTACAGCATTTGTTGCTTTGTTGGGCAAGCATAAAAGAAAAAAATGTGCACTATATTGTGTCCAGCTGAAATGGAGTTGGCCAAACTTTGTGTATAGACTGCCCTGGGTCAGGCATGAGTCACAAACTCAAAACGAACTGAGTTGATCTTTTCCTCATAATCCAAGAGCAACAAATCATCAAAGCACCATTCAGCATCATGCCTGATGATTATGAACACTAATAATGGATCCAGGGCAGTAATTCTTTCATATTTTTTCTCCCAGATTTCAATCAGTTTTCCCTTAGAAATACAGCCCTTTCTAATAAAGTCAATTTGTTAGACATGGATGTCTGATTCCGTTGAAATGGATCAAAATTACCAGGCCTTTGAAGGTCATTTAAGGTCACTGGAAAATATTTATAAATACACTTACATCAAATCATAACACATCAGAGGGTGTTTCACAAAGACTAAGATCGACTAACTGGCATTAGTTTCTCAAGGGACGTACAAATCATAGTCACAAATCTACAGAATTTACATTTTTTGATAATTCATTATTGAAGTAAAAAATATTATCTCAAGATCATAATGGTGAGAGCAACCAGTGGCATGATTGGTCTGCCATAGTTAAGTCCAACTTAAAGTCTTAAAGTCGATCTTAGTTTTGGGAAACACCCTCCTGGTCTTGCATAATTTGTATGCCTTTCCAATGGAGGTAGTGTTTGATATTCATTCTCCCTCCCCCCCCCCCCCCCCATTTTCTGTCTGTGTGTCCATCTAAACGTGTAGTGCTGTTATTCCCGTTTCTCAAGAATTTTTAAAGGATGGACTTCAAACTGATTACCACTGGGGAGCACCACACGTAAAAGATTTGATTTGATTTTGAGACAAAAGATTTTTGAAGTGTTGAGAATATAAAGTTCATCCTGTTATTTGTTCAGTGATTGATGACTTTAGCCTCTGATACTAAAAAGCGTTCGGCAAGTTGCGAAATGTGGTTTTTAAGAAGAATGATGAATATCCCTTGGTTAGTAATGAGGAAGTTCTTAGATGAGCTGGAGTGCAAAGGAAAATAATATGTGAGATGTTGATTAGACAGTTGAAGTTCATGGGTCACATTACACATAGAGAAGGCCTAAAGAATCTTGCTTTGACAGGGAAACTTGTGGGAAGAAGGAGTAGGGGAAGAAGGAGGATACTTTGGATGGACAGTCTGCAGAAATTGTTGGAAGAGAGAGGAGTGAAAGAACTGGGAGTGTTGCTAATAGAGAAGGCTAGGAACAGAGGGTTGTGGAACAGCATTATCGCCAAAGTCAACTGATATGGCATTTTATAGAGAGAGAGGGAGAGATCGATGACAAATGTGTAAGGTTGTTAATTAGGAGCTCCCAATATTTTCTAATTATACCTATGACTCAGATGATAAAAGCAAATTTCAAGCCTAATTATGATAAATTTAATGGATTATTTGACATTGCCAACAAAGGAATTTACGTTGGTCATTGCAAAAATATCTTTCATGCGCACACACTCCTTACGTTTATTTATTTCCTTTGGGCCAAAACAAAATTATTGATCCTTTTTTATTTATTTAAAGAATATCCTTATTTTCATGGACAATTGGCTAATGAATGTGGGAAAGAACTTTACATGATGATGACAATACTTGTAACTACGAATACTACAATCACAAATCCAGTAATTAGTTTTCTAGATCAGAAACGATGTTGCTGCCATGCAGTGTGATGTTTATTACCTGGATGTGTCGGTGGCAATCCCCTTTTGATCAAGGTATCGTCGGGAGATGCGTGATGCCAATTATTAGTCCCTGATCACAACGGCCTCCCGAAAGTGCAGTGGGTTTGGCGTATGACCCTGATGGTGAATGTAACAAGGCAGAGTACAGGAAACTCCTCCTATTAGTAGCTTTCCTGTCTCTCTAAGCCTCTGTTTTAATCAGAATCCAAATGCCTATGTCGGATTTATCAATTTGCTGATGTGGTTCGAGTATTGTTGTTTATTGTCTAAGCAGTGCACAGTCACAGACAGGGTTCGGGTGTTGCTGCAAAGATGCTCCAATTGCAAGCAATACTTCTTGGATGATGAATGGACAATAAATCATTGTTTGGTCAAAATGGTTTAGTTGATACTGTACATGTAGATCACAAGTGGCAGTAAGAGGCAACCATCTCCTTTTATTCCTTCTCCATCGGCACTTTTCAAATTAATATAACAAAATTCCCCCCAAGATGATAATGTAGGGACTCTTTAGAGTTTCAAGGGCGATTTCAGTAGCTCTGGCAGCAAACGCGCCTTGCTCCATTGTTGATGTTTGGGCTTTGTTAAGGCTGTAGCGTTAGAGTTGCTATTGGGGTTTAGGTTAATGTTTAGGTTTAGGTTTAGGGTCAGGTTTAGCGCGAGGTCCAGGGTTGAAGTAAAGGATTCAGTAAGTATAGGAAATTGGCCACACAGCAATATTTACCAGGCCATATTTCGTAAAACTGATTCATTGTGTGTTTTTAATGAGGACAAGAATGCTCCTAGTTCAGACGGGTCGCCTTCTAAAGTCAATTTATACTGAATAGGAATTTTCAATACACTAAACCAATAGGAATGTTTCTGATAATGTGCTTCCGTCTGGGTTACAACAAAATGTATTATCCAGAAATCTCCTTTCTACTGACAAAAAAATGGGAAACTACGGAAGCAAAAATGTAGACGACTAAAGATGCATTTATTTAACCAAAAAGTGGGGGAAAACTTGGCAACTGTAGAGATCTTCATAGATAGATTAGCTAGGTTTTGGCTTCTTTTTAGGAAATGGAACTTATTGCCTACAGCAATGAAGAAAAAAAAACACTTTTCATTGTCATGACCTGATTGAGTGACCCCCATCATGTACTCCATCAACTATGTGCATCACCCAACATTGATGTAATGCTATACTCACAACCACTTAGTATTAAATGGTATCACAGTTATTACTAGTTTAAATGTTTTATTACTAGTTTAAATGTTTTATTTTCAGGGGTGGTATTTTAATTAGTTTAATCCAGTTCTCAAAACTAGACTAAAACCGATTATGAAGATTAATGATCATTTGATATTAATTCTGCTGTTAATTTGTTAATTGATTGATTCTTCTGGTACCCAGTGCACTTATGATCATAGGTAGCATTAACTTTAATACCTAATTACTCAGTTTCTATTGTGTCATATGATAGTTTTGAAATCTAATAATAACTACATGTAATAGAAGAATTGAAAGTCAACTTAATGCAATATAAAACAGTAATTTATCAATAATCGTTAAAAGTTCATCCTGATTACTATTCTACAACTAATTCCTTTTCAGAACAAAAGCTAATTAGAATGGTCATAACAAATTGATGACTAACGTGAGAAATTGTATTTCGTAAACTGCGCTGCCAGTAATTATTGCCTACGCTCAAATTAGTATGTGTTTATGTGCGAGTGTGTGCCGCGATGCGTGGAGTTCATGACATTATGTTTACATCGACATGAATGTGACGGTAATTGGCTCCCTCTGGAGTCCGACTGTGCAGCTGAATGCAAGAACCGTAGAATTTATCACACGATGGAAGGGGGAAGGAATGCTTGGCCCCAGCGGGATATCCCCTTAGCTCTTAGAGTGTGCTCCAAGGTGTAAATGGTGTCTTCGCTGGTTAGGGTTATTGCTGAGGTGTTGAAATAGGAAATAATTGGGTGTCCTCTAAATAGATATTCCCCACTTTTGAGAAACCCCAAGGGTTACCTGTGAGTTGAATTTATCACAAGAAGGAGGCTTGCTTTGAAATTTGATAGGGATTTTCACCTGCATGTTAAGAAACGTAGTTACCAAGCACTTACTAAGTACATTACTTAAGTATAAGTATGGTACTAATGTTGTAAGAAGCTATTGCAGTATACAGATAAGTTACATGTGTACATACATCTACCAGGAAGGTGCTTCATACTTATGAAGTGTGTACAGATTAAAGAGATCCTTGCAAGTAAAAGCTCCTATATGCACCAGAGGTCCAATGAGAAGGATTATAGATGTCATTGAGGATGAATGACATCGCCAAAGGATGATTTGATATTTTTTCCAGAAATACTTACTCCAGGTTTCATTTTATCAAAGATGCAGTGTTAAGATCAGGATTGCAATCCGTCCTACGTTAGGTTTGGTGTAGGATTGCAATCGGTCCTACTTAGGTTTGATGTAGGATTAGATTAATAGTGTCCATGATTTATGTTGGGAATTTGTTTAGTGTTACAAATTAAACACATAATATCAATTGTTGCACGAGCATGTTGCTGTACAACCTCGGACCTCCCAAGACCACTAGGACACTGCCTTGGTCTTGAATCTGGGCCATGTTTTGTAAGACTTGTTATCAATAACAAATGCTAAAGTTCTATGACAAATGTGCTTTCGGCAAGCCAATCAGATAGTCAAACCTGCTTTAGTGACCACCTGTCTACAAAGACCACATTTTCGTTTCCCTTGAAAATGGATTCTCATTGAAATGTGTACTAAAGGAACCTGTCTACAAAGACCACCTTTTGTGTTTCCCTTGGGTGGTGGCTATAGACAGGTTTGACTGTACATTAATTTCAGTAGCTTTTAAAGGTTATTGTACATGTATGTAACTTTTTTTTAATAACAAGTTTTATGAAACAGCCCTTGATTGCCTATATCTGAGACTGTAGCCATATCCACCTCGCCATTCTTTTAAAGGTATGACAATTATCAGGATGCTGTACGTAACTAAAATGTTATTTACCACTGAGAACACCTTGACCAATGCTAGGTGTCGTATCTAACACTGTTGTTGTTTTTGTTGTTTTAATTACAGAAGCAATAGGAGGTTGTCAAGCTCAAGCGATCAAGGACTATTTACGTATCCATGACCGGTCAGCCATTTCATTCAAGGCCGGGGACATATTAACGGTAAGTAATATGAAGCACGTCTATATGGGGAGACAGGTTTTTAATTACCTGTGTTAGGCTCTGTTGCTTCATATTATTAATTGAATGGTTTGCATTCTACCTATGATGCTATTAGAAAAAAAATGAAAGTATGTATTTTATACAGGTAATTGAGTTATTATGATGCTAATCGTTGCATTAAGTGATGCATCATCGGTTTGGAGCCAGAAGGACAATAACTCCTACCATTTTACACAGAGTTAATGCCCTTCTGGCTCCACATAGGTAACATTTAGATTATTGATGGTTTGCAAAAAATGTGTCAGACTATTTCCATTATCTTGTCATCATTTATTGAAAATTGATTGGGGTGTGTAAATGGGCAATCCCACTTTAACATGGGATGGATTTCTCCATTACTCAATGAAAATCAATGATTAATCCTTTTGCATCTTCTACTGAAAAGGCTCTCCACTATCAAACATTTAAGTGATAGAACTCCCATCCCTCAGCCATTACAATCTGCAATGTACCTTTCATTTTTGGATTTTAACCCATTGCTTCTAGAAACCGTGTTGTTCCTGTGTTTTGCCTACGGGTATAGCAAATGAAACAGTTCAGTTGTTAGTGGGTTAAAGTAGAAAGGAAAAGAAGAAGGTCATCTCATCATGTCTGGTGACCTTAAAAACATTCAGGTACACGTAGCTCCTGGAGGCATGGTAAAGAAGCTGGTTTGACATCAATATTTTGACATGATTTCTCTGTGTTATGTCAGAAAGAATGTGTGTGTTGTTTCAGGGGGTCCTATTAGACACCTTTTGTTAAAGGTCTTGTTATGCTAAGAATTGTACATGGAATAGGAAGAATATGTGGTGGGCAGATTAAACAATTAATGCTTATTATGATCGAGTACTCACTACCTATGTTCATGGGGCACCGTCTTAGTTTCAAACTTTCTGAAGCCTCAAAGATTTCAACAAGGACCCTCTATAAAAATCACAGTGACTGACATGGCACTTAAACAGGGACTGCTTGAAATATTTGATAACAAGTTGGGCAAGCAGTCATAGTTACTACATCTGACAAAACCTTGGAAGTCCAGATTATTCATTGTGATACTACTATATTCCCATAATATGCAATTTTATGTGAGAGAGATATTAGCAAAAGGTTCACCCCCATTGATATATTTAAACAAAATATGTTGTAAATATTTTTGTTGTGAAGGCTTCGGTGCCTGTCTACTTTGGGTATTAAGTACATTTGAGATTTTTCATTCAGAATTTGTCGAGAACAGTTACATTCAACCATGGAATGCTTATGCCTGGAGCTGGTATATTCTTTAAAACCACTTTTACTCCACAAGTTTCCTGAGGCAGATATAATCTTGTTAATGTAGCAAACTTTATTCTTCTAGCTTGTCATTAAGAATTAATAACATAATAATTCATTATGGGGATTTTCCCTTTTTCTCTCCCTCAGGTGCTGGAGAGGCATCCTGACGGGCGATGGAAAGGGTCCATCATGAAAGGAGGAGTGGAGTCTATAGGATACTTCCCTGGAGACTATGTACAGCTAATAAGTAGACCGCCCTCTGGAGGTAAGAATAAAATCACTCCTAGATACTCTAAGAATAAGTCTGTGACACCAAGCATAAAGAGAAGAGAGATATTGAGTCAAATTGAGGGTGACAAATGATTAGATGTCATCTTTATTAGTTCTTTTATTTATTTCAGAATCCAAATTTGCTTTCTGTTGTTTGTGTGTGACTAGTGGAATTTGAGCTTTGTAAACTCCTTGAGAGTTTACATTTAGGAAAGGGGATTTTCCCTTCTTTATTTTTTGGCAAGCCAACATTTTATTAGTGAACTGCATTCCATTGAAATAAAAAAAATATCAAACAGATAGTTATTATTGTAAAGTTATACTATTTTCTATGTGTACAGTGGTGTTGATAAAGCTGGTGATGATTACACTGATTTTGATAATGAATAATATGGTGATGATAATGATGATACTGATTATGATTATTATGATGCTGATGAAGATAACAATAGTGATAATGATTATGATTGCCTCAATGTTCTGGTTCATACATGTGCCATTTACACTTGAAAAACATAAAACTGTAACTAAAATATGTGCGAACACACCCTGAGTCACATGCAATCATCGACTTGGTGGTTTTGTTAACCACATGACCAAACAAGATATGGTATTGTGTGAATATTTCAGTCAAAAGCAGCAACAAAAGGTTACAAATTACCTGAAGTACTTTCCAGATATTTATCTTGATGTAAATCTTTAACTCTATACTAGGACACTGTAGACCTTCATAGTTATTTGTCTAAGGAAAAACATTTATTTTCTTAGAAGTGTATTTTGACCTGTTTCTGCAGAAGGAAATGCGGTAAAATGGAAGGTGTTCTTTCTCAAGGACATGGTGTGGGTGTGTTTTTAGGTTAAAAAAATTCAAGAATGTTCATCATTCTTTCCAAAATTTTGTTTGTACAGTGTACATGTGTCTTTTTTTTTAGTGGCAATTCATTGACTGAGACCTGATACACACATGTAGTCTAGTCGAGTGAACATCGTAAACATTTCTTTTGTTTTGTTCGATTTCACACTTGTCAGACGACGTTGTTTGTCGGTGGGAGCATGCGTGCGTGCAGGGCCGTTGCGCTTGTTTGCGCAAGTTCAAGCCTGTACAAATAGGGATACCAGTACGTGAATGCATGAGTCTGGGGGTTGTCTACCTACCTGTGTGTATGTATGAGTTATTGTTCATGTTCGTGTTATGATTGGATTTATTCGGAACTTGCTTTAATAATTCCTGGTGCCTGAGAGAGAACCTTCGGAAAGGTGAGAGGTGTATGCATTCTTAAGTTATGTCGGTGTTTGGCCCATGAATTTATACATACCTGCCTGCCCCTTCTGTGAAAGCTTTTTAGGAAAGGATGAATAAGTAAGCCGATGACTTTGCTTTTCAAAGTACGTTTTTGTTTTAAAGGGCATATGTCTGTGACAGAAAGTTGATTTGGTTTGCAGTAAAACTGACAGCATGAAGAAATTGAAATATGCATTCCGATCTATATGGAGTTAGTAATTTTGTATGAAATATGAATATACATTGTAGCCACTAAGTGAATCCGTTTATAATGTTTATGGAAAGTTGAAAGTAATTTTGCTATTCATGTTCTCAGATCAGTTATGAAGTTTAGAGTTGTTGTATATCGGCAAATGCTTTATTAATTGTCTGGAGAATGTTAGTAATATTTTTTTCAACATACATTCTTTCAGTTCAGTGAATTATCCGGCAGAAAAGTCAAATTATACTTCAAAAATGTATTTGACATTACTTCTCAACCACAAAAATACCATTGAAAGAATTAGTCAGAACTTAAGAAATAATAGTAATAAAGATAGCTCACATATCTAAAATATGAATGATGATGAATGAACCGAGCAGAACCATACTTCCTAACTGAATCACCAGTGAACAGATGATTCTGTTTTGCAAGCATGAATGGTGATACACAATCACACATGCACATATGGATCTCTATGGAAAGATCAACTGCGTATATGAGAAACATATGCTCAGGTGTGCATACTCTACTATCTACTCTTCTTTGTGCTGTTTGGAGCCAGAAGGGCACTATCTCATATACTGTACCACATAGTTAACGCCCTTCTGGCGCTGAATAGACGTTAAGAGCTGCGCATTGGGATGACCTGAAGGATCATTTTATGTTGATATTATCGATCGATGAAGGATGTTAGCTTCAAGCAGATGATGACATACATACAGGTGAAAAAAGTATGTAAAATGTGCTTGGCACATCTGTGTAGTTTAACCTAAGGGTTGTAGACATTAAGTTTATATTCAACTGTTGAATTCATTGGATACAGTTGGTCTGTTGGTCTGTGTTATATAAAACGTAATGTCAGGTTGTCATATTATACGAAAAAAATAGTCCCTCGTTTGAAGAAAACAATGTTCTCTAAATTGAAAAAGTAAGAATACATAATACTGGTATCTCATTTATTTACAATACTATTACAAGTGTATTCAAAATGAGTTCATTTTTAGTGGCATTTAAATCTGATTCGAAGAAATCTTAAATTATATTTTTCTCAATTTCATTTGGGAGTTCTTATAGTGTTTAGACTTGATTGTGAACACTTGGAATGATAATTAGATTTTGGCATGAAATAAAATCGACTGAAGCCATTGTGTGTCAAATAGATGTTACATTGTAGAGCAAGGCTTTACATTTGGTTCCAGCCTGTATCTACTCGTACATGACCCTGTCAAACAAGTGAATAATAATATTGTTAGCATTGTGAGTAAGTGATGACAAAATTATGTTTATACATTCTAGAACCATGAAGTATGCTAACCCCTTTCACACTGCTTATCTGTATTTATTACACAAATTATAGAGCTTTCACAGCAGAATGCATTACAGATCATGTTAAAAAGCAATACTTAATGATACTTCCTCATGGAGATCAAGCCGGAAAGATCCTAATGACTTTTTTCTTCGATTGATTCCGCTAAGTATCCATGAACATTCTGTATCTCTTATCCAATCTGATATGCTCATCTGTATACAGGTACAGCACTTCTATATCTGTGTGTGGTTGTGGTTAGATTGGCGGTATGCCATCTTGTACACTCATGTAAAACAAACAGTTGATTAATTCCGGGATTAATCTCACTATGCAAATCAGGCATACAGATAGAGGGTTGGACGGACTCTCGCTTTCAGTCACCGACAGATAGGTGGATAAAGAAACAACTACAAGGTTCGGAACTCTTGATTGCAATCGTACCCTCAGTTTGTGACGGAGTCCATGGATTAGTCATTTAGTCAGTGTTGTGCTCATTTGTACTCAAAGCTGAAGGCAGGAAAGATCCAAGTGTACGTCTTTGTCTCTTCATTATTGATTGAATTGAACTTGCGGGTTGCAAAGTGATTATTAAACAATTGTTTACATCGCGTTATTCTGTGTTTAACCATATATTTCCAATTGCCAATGGATTTAACTCGGCTAATAAAGTAAACACTGCTACACTATTCCTTCTTGAAAGTTAAATCAGTTGGTCAGTGTTATTCTCATCTGCACTCGGAGCTGAATGCAGGGAAGACGTATATCTTGGATTCTAGGTTAAATTGAACTTAAGTGAATTCAAGTTGTTTTGATACCACTCGAGTGCATTGAAAGTGTCTTGTTTATGCCATGTTTTCCTGATTGTTATTGGACTTAACTTGGTTTATGGACTAGAAAATGCTGCACCGTTCCATTTTCTATTGTGAAAGAAAAAGATTGAGGTAAGTTCTGAGCTTCCCAATCGCAATCAGTAAATCATCAAATGATAACTGGATATTGACTTGAATGCATTGGATAAATTTGATGTGCACTCTGAGTTTATGAGGAGATCATAAGTGCAATGTGCATTGTTTACCTTCAAAGATGATCTATTAAAGTGTTGTCAAAGTTAAAGGTTCTATGTTCCATTTGCTGGCCCAAAAAAATGAAAAGGTTAAATTTAGAACTTCCCTCATAACAAAAGGGCTTGAAAATAAGTATTTAGTTGTCGAAATGACTTAAATGATTGCAGTCACCTAAGTAATAAACTGATTTTCAGACCCTTTTACCGAAGGGTCGTACATTTTATGCTGCACAAAGATACTTATTATTATATACACATTTAATTGATTCTTTAATCAAAATAGACAATAGATGTTGATTGCTTGCTTGATATACCATTTTTATTGAAAATTCTCTTGATTATAGAGCAGCAATTGAGCAAAAAAAAAAGAAGATATACTGGTAAGGTAGGTTTAAGTTCAATCTGTAAAGGAACTGAGATATATATATTTACCTCTTATAGTTGATTGCCAACCAAAATCTGGCAGACAAATTTGGACTCATTTTCATGCAAAGTAACAGTGAAACATTGCTACACATCCTGAACTGTTATGTTATATGATTTCAAGAAACACACTGTTGTAAATTTGTAATATACCAGGAACATGCACTTAAATGCTTTATAGCTGTGTTTAATGCTCTTGGTTTATGCAGGATGTCTCTAGTTTATGTTTGCCCTTGGTTTTTTATATCACATTTTATGGCGTTTGGTGGTTAGAGTTGGTAACCTTTCGGAAATCGTCATGGTATTGTGTTATTTTCATCATCATGATTTATTCACATGATTATTCACATGAAAAATGATATTAATGTGATATTTGTGATTTAACACAGTTTTTATATGCTTATGAGCAAAGGTTATTTATTAGAAAAGATGTAAGATGTTTTCCTCGAGGACTTTCCTTGAAATCGGCTTCATTATATGCGTGCGAACGCTTGTGAGTCTGTAGTTAATATTTGATAACACTCTCCAGGGACCTTGAACATGTTATGTTGTGATTCCTCAATGGCCTGATGGAGGAAGTAAAACTAATAAGTATGATATAACATAGGAATGTGATATATGTTCATATATTTGTTTTAAGAGTGATCATAATATTATGATGTATAGTGAGTGGGAGTCAGAGCTTGATATTAATAGGGAAAAATATCAACATGTTT